ATTATGATAAGGAGCCCCCGAAATAGCATAGGTAATTATTTAGGCCCCTGTAACTGTAGTAAACCCCAAGAGCCCGAATTAATTCAAACCCCGCTTGGCAAGTGCCTCTGGCACGACCTCCGAACCCATTGAGCCGGTCGCGTGACTCACGGCACGCTCGGCCTGTCGACAAATGAATGGGAGTTTCTTTTTGTGGCTTAGGGTTTAGGGGTTTAGGGGCTTAGGGGTTTAGGGGTTTAGGGGTTAGGGTTATGAAGGGGTTTCTTTTGGGGCTAACGCTGTCACAACTCGGACGAGGTCTATCGGTACGCGGTCGGAATCAGGACGGCTGCAAGTATTATGACCTCTTCAGAAACCCGCCCAACCAGTGTGGTTTCGACTCTCGCACACTGGTTTAAGGCTTTGGGTTTGAAGGGCGCCTTCGTGTCTTGAAGGGCTGGAGGGTTTAGAGGTAGTTCGGAGCGAGTTTAGGATCTTAGGTTTCAAGGGCTTGGATTATGGGCAGAAGACGATCCCTACACAGACTCTATGCTTCTTTGAGTGAGGCCCTCTGATCCCCAATATTTGCGGTTCTGCATCTTTCTAAGCCCTGACAGACAAGTTAAGTTCAACAGTGCAACAAGCATCTTCAACAGACGAACTAGGAAAGCCGTATCGAATCCGTTACAACACATGATACTGATATAAACGCAATGTTCCGAGTTGCCTTCTTCGCAACGTCCGTGAGCATCTGCTGGGCGGCAGACTCCAGCGCTGCCTTCAGGTCGAGCTTTGGACTATCAGACCCTGCAGCAAAACTACAAAAAAGGGTTTCTGAGGGGTCTTCGAGGGATTTTGTAGCCAAGCATGAAAGGATTACAAAGGGATATTTGGCTCCCGCATGGCAGCATCCAAAGGCACTACATGGCAGGTATCCAAATGGCTAGGCGAGCTGCACCACATCTCTCACGAAACGAAAACAAGCTAGCGAACCCCACCCACCCTAAACACCACTACCATCACTATTACCTTCCGTCATTCATTTCGTAAGATGGTCTGCAGCGTGACACACTTACATCACAGCAAGGCTTCTGGAACACGTCTTTACCGACAGTCCACTAAGTCCTCAGAAGGTCCAAAGTACCTTAAAGCGAGAGTGTACACACTCTCCAGTTCTCAGAGGCGCACCCTAGGGTCAGCAGCCAGAAACTCCCGACTGCCACATGTTCCCTGTCTCACGAAGGTGCACAAGTCGTCTAACACGCAGAAGGGGGGTCAGCCAATGCGGAAGGGATATTACGACTAGGACTAGGGCACATGCACGAGTCCAGGAAACGTGAGGTTGAGCTGCCTGAGCAACGCGGCTTACCCAGCAAGCTGCCTCAACAACAGCAAATGAAGCAGTCAATGACCAATGGACCTGTCCACTGACACATGCGGGGACCTTCCTCACAAAGATCCCTACAGTAATTACCTCAAGCAAGCTGGGAAGCCAGGTGCACTTCTTCAATAAAATCCTCACCAGATCCGAAAAGCTGTGAGGCAAAACAGAACAAAAGGAAGTGCCTAACAATCATTGGACCATCAAGACGATGGCTCTATACCTCCGATACGCTGAGCAAGCAAAGAGTGCATGAGGCAACACCGCCTAGGTTCCTCAGCCCTGCACGATCTAGGCCATCGTCAGGAACCCGACCCGAAGTCTGCACATATTGAGCCCTATACATATGTCTACATAGAAGCCATATTCATGGAAATGACAATACTACTACTACCAATAATTATAATGGTAGTCACAACAATACAAACAATAATCATAGCAACAAGAACAATGACAACAGCAACAAGGACTTGTAGATACAAAAACCCTAAACCCTAAACCCTAAACCCTAAACCGACCTGGTCCTGATCGCCACCAGACGCAACGGATGCTGGGACATGCCTCGTGAAAGTCATTCGAGGGTCATACACAGAGGCTGGGATTCAGGGGTGGGGTTTAGGGGGGTCGTACACAAAGGTTGGGGTTTAGCATGTGTAGGGTTGAATGGTTTCAGTTTGGAAGCTTCGTGTTGTGCATCTTCTGTTTCCAAACTGACCTTCTTGCTCTTTGTTTCGTTTGGTTTTTGACTGCTGAGCATGTGGTCCTCTGCTGTGTAACGAATCCGAACGGTAGGATGTATGGTTTGTGGATTGGCTCGTCATGGGATTCAGCGGCCCAGCAGCACAGTGCACCTGTTTTGCAAAACAAGGTAGCGCCGATTGAATTGACCGATATCGTTACCAATCATCGGCTTGGGAGACAATTACGGCCTCTGATGCATCTTCTCTAACAACCTGCAATATAGCATGTTGAACCACAGAACTCGCATCCAAATCCGATATCCGTTGCGTTAACGGGCTCTCCAGAAGCCTAGTCATGGTATAACCAAGACTCCCAAGAAGGTCTGAGGCTTCGGGATCTTACTTAAAGGATCATGGGACTTAGTAAGTAGGGTTATAACTAAGGTAACTATACTTATGACCCCAATTAAGGAACTTATAACATTACTTACTAAGTCCCATGATCCTCCAAGTAAGGAATGCTTGGACAGGAGGTTTCGCTAAGCTTGCACTGGGCCACCTGGGGCTGCTGATGCAGAAGAACCTCAAGTTCCCTGAGCCCCCAAGCCTAAACTCCTAAACCTCAAGCCCTAATGTGTGACGGTCTTTAGTGCCAGGGACCTCTTTAGTGCGTTTTCTTTTCCAGTGCTTATTCGTTTTTGCTGTAAACTTTTGGGCGAAGTTCAGCATGTGCTTTTTTGGGCTTGCTTCGGCCCTTTCTGCTAACGATCAATCTTAATTAAGTTAAGCAGAGGATTACTCACCCACTGGACATGCTGGTAAAGAGCTTCTCTCCCAGCCCGACCCCCACGCACAGACCCCAAGCCACCCGGAAACCCCTCAGACCCCCCAAAACCCAGATGGGGTTCGAAAATAGGGGACCCTAATATAGTACCCTAAATAATAGGATCCCTACTATAAGGACCCCAAAATAAGGTACCCTAATTTGCTGAAACTCCCAGGTTAGTCTAGCCCACCGGCAACATATTATTCAGGTCACCCCCGAATGGGCGGCGGGAGCACCAAACAGTCACACAACCTGAAACCCTCAACCCCTTTGTAGCACGGACTCAGGTGCCGGCCCGCGCCTATGCAACCCCAATTCCCTAGCCCCGAACCTTAAACCCTAAATTCGAAACCCTGAAACCTAAACCCTAAACCCTAAACCCCTGAAGCCCTAAACTGAAACTGGAGACCCCACAGGCTATTTAGTTAAGGGCTGCGCGTTCGTAAGGGTTCTGGCTCTCGGCAGCTGGCCAACAGAAGCAGTACAAACTTAACTGGGTTGTAGTTTTGGGGCCCGGAAAGTATTTATGAATAGGTACCTCTATAGAGACCATAAGGGAAATTTTAAAGTTTCCCAAATTGCCACCTCGTTAAGAAATCTCAAGAAGACCCCTCAGGTCCTTCTCAATCTCCGCCCTGAACCCTAAAACGTCGACCCCAAGGCTTTTGTTTGGTTTAGGGTTTAGGGTTTAGGGTTTAAGGTTTAGGGTTTAGGGTTTAGGGTTTAGGGTTTAGTGTTTGGTTTTGTACTTCCATTTTTAGCTCCAAACCCTCGGAGCTCGAATCCCACTGAAGTCTCCGCAAGGAACCTCTATTGTACCGGATTGTCGTACCTCTCAAAGCCTCGCTTGAAGGCACCTTGCTTATCATGGTAATCCTAGAGTTCTGAAAGCCCTAGAAGCCCTGAAACTCCTCAAGTCGTTCAAACGTTGAAATCCGAAAACGCGAACAGAGCCCAAACACCATGCAAAACGCCTAGACCTCTTAAAAAATACATCCAAACCCCCCACCCAGAGAACCCGATACCCCTTAATTAAGGAATATACCTTAAATTATAGGGGCCCCAACATTAGGATTTAAGGTATATTCCTTAATTAAGGGGTCTTGGGTTCTCTCGGCAGAAAACCCACAGCTGGACGGCCGCGTCTTCTGAGGCCCTCGCTGCATAACGCCTAAACCTCTTAAACACTACATCCAAACCCCCAGAGAAAACCCTAAACCCTAACCCCTAAACCCTAAACCTAAACCCTAAGCCCTAAGCCCTAAACCTAAACCCTAAACCAACAGCTGAGGCCCTCGCTGCATCTCGGCTGGCGCCGGGGAGGCTGCAGGCGGGCTAAGGACCTCGAAGGAGGGGCGTGACTTCGACTTCGGGGATGCAAGGATTCAGAAAAGTTCTGGAGTTTAAGGGATTTAGGGTTTTAGGGTTTTAGGGTTTTAGGGTTTAGGGTTTAGGGTTTAGGGTTCAGGGTTTAGGGTTTTAGGGGGTCTAAGGGGATTCAGGGTTTTAGGGGTTTTAGAGGTTTTACGGGGTTTAGGGTTTTAGGGGGTTTAAGGGGGTTTAGGGTTTAGGGCTTGGGGTTTAGCGTTTAAGGTTCCGTGCGCTTGCGGTTTTTGGTTCAGGGGGTTTGGGCATATTGGGTTTAGGGTGTCTGGTTGAAGTTTTGAGATTTGGGCTTCGGGCGTTTAGGGCTTAGGGTTTCAGGGCGCCTAGGGATTAGATTTTGGGTGCTTCGTGCGAGCTTCCTGCAGGCTTTGCTGCTTGTTCCTTTTCGCTGTGTGACCTTTTCCTGAGTTTTTTGCGACACTTTCAAGACGGCTTGCATCATCTGGAGAAACCGGCCGCTTCATGTGTATACTTCTAAAGGCCTGCAGTCTCGAGCTGCCCCTGCCTCCGCCCCTCTTATTCTTGTTCTTCTTGTTGCTCCAGCTCCACCAGGAGTCGCCGTCCTTGTCCTTGTGAGTCTGGCTCTGGCTCTGGTACTTTCCGGTGGTCTTGTAGTACCATTCGCTGGAGCCGCTGGCATCCGAATGGTGCTGCGGAGCTGGAGGGGTGTTTATGGGCCCCACCCCATGCAGCTCGTCATCATCTGTCCCGGCATGATGCCATGCGCGATCGCTGAGACCTGAAAGTTTCTACGAAACTCCTGAGCGACCTCAAGCAAAGCCCGAAGACCCCGGCGTGCAGCCCGGAGCTCGCGATCAACTCTCTCCAATCTTGCAAGACTGCTGTGCTCAAGCGAAGCGATACGAGCTGACAGCCTGTTCAATGATGCTTGCAACGCGTCAAGATGATTCTGCTGACCCCACTTCGATGTCAAGAGCTCCATCCAACGCAAACCCTACACCCTAAACCCTAAACCCTGAACAAGGAGCCCGCAACGACTAGACGCCGTCCGGGCTATTCCAATTATGTACTCTGGACATCAACTTTCCGGGCTGGGAGTTGAGGAATTAGCGCTTAGGGTTTAGGGTTTAGAGGTTTAGGGTTAGGGTTTAGGGATTAGGGTTTAGGGATTAAGGTTTAGAGTTTGGGTTTTGGGCTTAAGGTTTAGGGTTTAGGGACTTATAGGAGCGGGGTGGAGCTTCGGTGTTGGGCTTGGGGTCTCTTCTCATCTCGTCCTAGAAGCTTCTATTCAATCCCTAACTAAACCCAAAGCCCCAAACCCAAAGCCCTAAACCCTAAGCCGCATAAACCCTGCAAAAGAGAACAAAGGGCGCCAAAAACAGACCCCGCGCCTGGTCGGAAACATTTTGGGAGCTGCGTAGCCTGCATCGGCCGAGGGCATTAGGCTTTCCGTTAGTTTTGAAGGGGGGTGCCGAGATTTGATTCTAGGCTTGTTGCTTAGAAGGGCTCCTCAGAGGACGAATAAGGGCTCAGGGTTCAGGATCTTAGGATGTAGGGTCTTGCGTTCTAGGGCTGGAGGCTCCTGGAGCTTTAATTAGGTTTAGGGCTTAACTTGTTTTTTCTTTTTTTTTTTTTTTTTGGGG